TGTTAACTTTTCTTGTGTCACTCATGTGAACTGTACCATTACAGTTGTTGGTTAACCTACATTTTTTTGTTTTATAATGGAAAAAAAAAAAAAAAAAAACGCAAACTGGGCCCATCTGGTCAACAGGGCAATCATATAAATATACAAAAATATGCTACAGAAGCTGAGGGTAAAGGTGATGGACTGGCCAAGCATGTGTCCAGACCTAAACCCTATTGAGCACCTGTGGGGCATCCTTAAACAGAAGGTGGAGGAGAGCAAGGTCTCTAACATCCACCAGCTCCGTGATGTCGTAATGGAGGAGTGGAAGAGAACTCCAGTGGCAACCTGTGAAGCTCTGGTGAACGCCATGCCCAAGGGGTTAAGGCAGTGCTGGAAAATAATGGTGGCCACACAAAATATTGAGACTTTGGGCCCAATTTGGACATTTTCACAAAAGGGATGTACTCACTTTTGTTGCCAGCAGTTTAGACATTAATGGCTGTGTGTTGAGTTATTTTGAGGGGACAACAAATTTACACTGTTATACACGCTGTACAGTCACTACTTTAATTTGTAGCAAAGTGTCATTTCTTCAGTGTTGTCACATGAAAAGATATAATAAAATATTTACAAAAATATGAGGGGTGTACTCACTTCTGTGAGATACTGTAAAATTTTTATATATATATATATATATATATATATATATATATATATATATATATATATATATATATATATATATATATATATATATTTTATTATACACACACAATATTGCCAAAAGTATTGGGACGCCTGCCTTTGCACGCATATGAAGTTTAATGGCATCCCAGTCTTAGTCCGTAGGGGGTCAAAACTGAGTTGGCCCACGCTTTGCAGTTATAACTTTTCTGGGAAGGATGTCACACATTAGTCAGGCACTGATGTCAGACGAGAAGGCCTGGCTCGCTGTCTCTGCTCCAATTCATCCCAAAGATGTTCTATCGGGTTGAGGTCAGGGCTCGGTGCAGGCCACCCCAAACTCACTCATCCATATATCTTTATGGACCTTGCTTTGTGAAATGGTGTACAGTAATGTTTGAACATGAAAGGGCCATCCCCAAACTGTTCCCACAAAATTGGGAGCATGAAATTATCCAAAATGTCTTGGTAAACTGAAACCTCAAGAGTCACACACACACTAAAATAAGTATTGGATACGTCACCATTTTTCTCAGTCAATATATTTCTAAACATGCTATTGAAACTTTCACCACATGTCAGTAATAACCAATGCAATCCATACATACAAAAAAACCCCAAAAAAACACAAACATTCAAAAATGTAATTATGCGTAACAAAATGGAATGGCAGAGGGAAAACGTACTGAACACATGAAGAAAGGGAGGTGCAAAAAGGCATGGAAAGCCAAGACAACAGCTGAAATCTATCAGTAGTTAGAAAGCAATCCTTCCCCTTGTCAGTGCAAATTAATATCAGCTGGTTCAGTTAAAACTGATGGCCTATAAAAAGGTGTCTCATTACGAAGGTGTCCAACAATAAACATCTCATGATGGGTAAAAGCAAAGAACTCTCGCGAGACCTTCGCAACCTTATTGTTGCAAAACATACTGATGGAATTGGTTTCAGGATTTAAAAACTTCTGAATGTTCCAGTGAATACTGTTGGGCCATAATCCAGAAGTAAAAAGAACATAATTTCACCATAAACCGGCCCAGACCAGGTGCTCTTCACAAGAGTGAAAAGAATTATAGAAGAGTTACCCAAGAGCAAAGGACCACATGTGGAAAGTTTTAGAAACACCTGGAATTAGCAGGTACAATTATCGTATTTTTCGCTCCATTAGACGCACTTTTTTTCCCTCAAAAAAAGGGGGAATAATGTCAGTGCGTCTTATGGAGCGAATGTAAAGCGGCCGCCACCATGTCAGAATATCAGGCCGGCCGCTCAGCTCTTCTCTCCTGCAGGACCTTACCTGTTCCTCTCTCCAGCGCTGCAGTCTTCCGCGGCGGCTTCTGTGACAGCCGGGTGCCCACTGCGCATGCGTGAGAAGCGCTGAGCTTTGTGAATGGTCCGGTGTCTTCTGGGATACATGACAGGTCCCAGAAGGCTCCAGGTCATTTACAAAACACAGAGCTTCTCGCGCATGTGCAGTGGGCACCCGGCCGTCATAGAACCCGCCGCGGGAAGAAGGAAGGACAACTCCGCGGAAGTGGTACCTGTCAAATTCAGGTACCCGTTCCCCCTCCCTCCCCAAAGGTCCGCAGCCTCTGGTCATCCCCTGTACTGGGTCCGCAGTCTCTGGTCATCCCCTGTACTGGGTCCGCAGTCTCTGGTCATCCCCTGTACTGGGTCCGCAGTCTCTGGTCATCCCCTGTACTGGGTCCGCAGTCTCTGGTCATCCCCTGTACTGGGTCCGCAGTCTCTGGTCATCCCCTGTACTGGGTCCGCAGTCTCTGGTCATCCCCTGTACTGGGTCTGCAGTCTCTGGTCATCCCCTGTACTGGGTCCGCAGTCTCTGGTCATCCCCTGTACTGGGTCTGCAGTCCATTGGTTCAAAATATTTTTCTTTTCCCCCCAGCCCGTGCCCCAACCTCTCCATCATGACCAACAATGCCACCATCACCCCCACCCCGCACGTCAGAGTACTAGGTGTCATTCTAGACTCCAATCGCTGTCAAATTCATGCAGACTCCACCTCCGCAACATCTCCAAAATACGCACGTTCCTAACTCCAGAAACCACAAAGCAACTCATTCACTCCCTTATCATATCACGACTTGACTACTGCAACTCCCTTCTCGACGGCCTACCCCAACACGGGCTATCCCCGCTTCAGTCTATCCTGAATTCTGCGGCCAGACTAATCCACCTTACCAACAGCTCCGTATCCGCCACCCCCCTCTGCCAATCCCTCCACTGGCTTCCGATTGCCCAAAAGCATAAAATTCAAAATACTAACACTGATGTACAAAGCTGTTCATAACACTGCCCCAAACTACATCACCGACCTGATATCCATCTACCACCCAAAACGCACTCTCCGCTCCTCACAAGACCTCCTACTCTCCAGTTCCTTGGTCTCCTCCTCCCATTCCCTCCTCCAGGACTTCTCCAGGGCTTCTCCCATCCTCTGGAACTCACTACCCCAATCCATCAGACTGTCACCGACCCTCCTCACCCTGAAAACCCATCTTTTCAGAGAAGCCTACCCTGCCCTCACCTAACTGCTGATCTCCTCCGCTCTCCCCACCACTCCATCCCCCACAGCTATTTCCTCCTGTACCACTCTCCTCTCCCTCCTAGATTGTAACCTCCAAGGAGCGGGGCCCTCAAACCCCTCGTGTATTTTATTGTATTGTTACTGTACGGTCTCATGTATTGTCTCCTATTGTAATGTACAGCGCTGAGCAAACTGTTGGCGCTATATAAATACTGTGTAATAATAATAATAATGCACTCAACTGCCATGGCCTATATGCACACTTACCATGCAAGACTCCATTGCTGAAGAAAAAGCATGTTGTTTAACGTTTGCTGCACAACATTTAGACAAGCCTGTGAATAACTGGGAGAATATAGTCTGGTCAGATGAGACCAAAATTGAACTCTTTGGATGTCACAATACACACTATGTTTGGAGGTCAAATGGCACTACACATCACCCCAAAAACAGGTAGGAACATCATGGTGTGGGGCTGTTTTTCAGCATACAGTACTGACAAAATTAATTTCATTGAAGGAAGGAAGAATGGAAAAAGGTACCAAGACACTGCTAATAAAAATCTGCTGCCCTGCTCAACAAGGATGAAGATGAAACTAGGGTGGGCATTTCAGCAAGACAATGATCCCAAAACACAAAGCAAAGGAAACTCTCAAATGGTTACACACACACACACACACACACACACACTTAAATAAGCTGTGGTCGCTGAGGAGAGCAAACTAGTAACAGTGTCTCATTCACCCCTGGTTCACATTAGTGCGGGCAGTGCGGCCCACATTTGCACAGGCATGGCAGCCCATTGATTGAAATGGGCTGCTGTGCCCACATTTCACACAAGGAAAAGGTGCATGCTTCTTTTCCAAAACACATCCACACAGAAACCACATGGTCTTTTTGACTATGCGGTTCCTGCACCCGCGATTGCACAGAATGAATGGCACCCCCATGTGTCTTGTAAGAGAAACGCGATACGGCAGTGGGTGGTTTGTGGATCCAGTCCAGTGAGTTATAGATTTAACTTTACCTATAAAGATGAATAAAATACAGACATGGCAAATAATATAGCTTGTTTTACAAGTAATCCATTTTTATTTATAGCTAGCCTTCATAATAAAAAATGTACATGAATAATTAATAACTTTTTAACTAAACCTATTCCTCAAAATGTGAAAATAATCCAATCTGCAAACACCCAGAAAATGTTGTACACTAGTTAAAACAGAACTAAAAACTCTCAATCAGCATTAACTATTTTTAGGCCTTAAGCTACTAGTCTTAGTAAATAGATATGAAGGTACGTTATTTTTTTACATTTCAGTTACTTCCTGGTTTCTGGCCTAGGCTAAAGTGATGTCACACATCTAGGAGACTTTGGGCAATATTTTGGGTTTTTTTTTTTAATCTGGAGGAGGTGAGCAGGGACCTTTTCAGCTGAGCACACCCTCCTGTCTGCATGCCTGAGCTAAGGACAGATGGATTCCAGGAAGTAAATGATAGATCATTTGCCCTTACTCAAGAAGGCTGCAGCTAGAATTGCTAGGGAGAGTTTTTCAAAGTGATATCTTAACAAAATAAAGCATGGAGACATGGATGGGTGAGTTTGCTTTGAATACTAAAAAATAAGTTAAATAGCTATTTCAGTTTGTGGCGCTCATATACAGTTAAGACCCGCTTTAACAAAAGAGAAATTACTAAAAATGGATTTGTAGCTTTGGATGTCCACACAAAAGGCCCAATGACGAATGGCAACAATCAGGTGATTCAAAGATAGTGATTTTCATGGTTTACCTTTTCTGACTCTTCTTTCTTCTTTTTCTTGTCTGTTGTTCCCTCAGGATGAGGCAAGACAACGGGTGTTGGCAGAAGTACCGTGGCTGGTGGACTTGGTAATGGTGGAGGAGAGGATGTTGCAGGTGTAGAATTTGGTGATGAGGGGAGCACAGAAGATGCCACAGGTTTTGGGCTTTCTAATCCATGCTCCCTCTTGCTCTTGCTGTGTTTCCTATGTTTGTCCTCTTTGTGCTTATCCTTTTTCTTTTTACTCTTTTTTGATTTCTTTTTCTTCTTCATTTCCCGAATGGAATCGTCAATTACAAGTTCTCCACCCTCAATTTCCCCTCCAGAAGAAGAAGCCGTATCTGGAGTGCCACCGTGCCGTGGTGTGTGACTTTCTTTTTTGTGTTTCTTGTGACTACTTTTCTCAGTTTCATCTCTAGATTTCTTGCTGCTCTTTTTGGAAGAACTTCTGTCACTACATACTGAACTTTCCTGTGTTTGGAGTGGTCGTTCACTAGTCTTTTCTTTGGGAGAAAGAATAAGTTTCATCTTTAAACCTTCAGGCTCACGTAAAGTTAAAGGCTTGGGCTTTTTTGATTTGTGGGAGAGATCCTCAGGAGTGTCTTCTCCACCCTTTTTACGATTTTCTTTTCGGGTTACTTGGACTGGAGACTGAAACCCAACAGGGGACGCCAGTATCTTTTCAGCTTTTTTGGAAGAGTGTTTGCTTGAAGAAACTACAGGGGAGGAAATGGAGTTGAGCAGATCCATAGCTGTATCGGAGGATGGAGAGGAGCTGGGATGAGAATGTTTTTTCTTCTTTTTCATGTCTGAAGAAGACAAATCTGTAGATAAAATAGTAAGGGACATATGTAAGCAGAATTCCATAAGCAAGGATTGAGGATTGAGACGGACATATGCAATCATTGAAAAACACCACCACTGCAAAATAAAAAAGGTAGAAACATAGTGAGAATGCATAGTGAATAATAGAAAAAGTCAAGTCAAACCAAATACAATTCATTTATTAAACCTTTACGCTACAAGAGGACCGCTAATATGAAATTTTATTGTGTGACAATGTTTACTAGCCCCCTGGATGACAGCTCACAGACTGATTTTATGCAAGTTGTGCTGTCAAAACAGGGAAAATTAGCTTGTTTCTTCCTTTATTAGACCAGTTAAGCTAGAACAGGTTAAGAGACAAGAGTTACCACACATACACAATTTTTATTAAAAATTCTTCTATGCGTGACTGCCCTTTTAAAAAATGGGGACAAAATAAACAGCAAGTGTTTTTCAAAGAAAATGTTTAATACTTTTACAGTATTTTAACCTCCCTGGCGGTATGATTATGTCAGGAATTTTGTACCAAAAGCGGTACCATTTTTTTGCATGGAAATATGTATTTTTTTTATTGTAGTTTGTATTGAAATTTAGGAATAACTCCCTGAAATCTGTCCGAACAAGAGTCTAGTAAACATTCCGGATATGATAAAACTTGAAACACGAAATCATAAATTATAATTTAATAAATACTCATAAAAAATAATAATATAATAATAATAAATTTAATTCAATAATATAATCAAACCAAAAAACACTGAAATTTGAAATATAGCGCCAAGTTCGCACATCACTGAGCAAAGTTGCGAAATCGTTTTCAGTGTCTGATGACGAATTTCCCCCATGAATCATTATCACTCAATTCTGCAAGTGGTTCTAATTTACTATCGCTGTTCTCTAGCCGGTCTAAAACAGATTTTGACCTAAAGGGACGCTTTTTGGACGCCGTGGACTTTTCTCAGTTTCCAGGCAGAAAGAACAGTCAAAATGCTGGCAGGGCACAGGACAAAGCAGTAGGGACAAAATGTATGTGAAATGCTTTGATACAGAGGAATGTTTTGCTATGAAATAATCGTTTTAAAAAAAAAGGTCATTTTTAAATTTTCAAATTTGCTGCCGGTTCCGGCGCCCGTACGTCCCGACGTCACAGGGACCGGAACACGGAAACCAGATGCCGGCATCGGCCGGAGGAGATGGCCGGGGACGCTGCAGGGGACGCATCGCGGGAGCGAAGGACAAGGTAAGCGCTGTAGGGAATCCCTGTGCAATGCCGCATGGTAAGCCCGAGTGTAGCTCGGGGTTACCACTTTTGGTACTGAAACTTTACCCCGAGCTACACTCGGGAATACCGCCAGGGAGGTTAAGGTTATGTTATGTGAAAAGATCTTCTTTAAGAAGTATAAAAGGTTAGAAAAAAGATACAAGAGTGGAGAAGACCAATGAAACATCACATTATCTGAAGCGGGGAAGGTAAAGTTTTAACAAATTTTCTAAAAACTCTATTAGCCGGCTCCAGAACGATACTTAAAAATCAAGCATTCAGCCTCATGGCTTTTTGGTTGCAGCACAGGCAGGTTTGGCCATCTGTCTTGGCCCCTGCCTGTTCCTTCACACCGAGTCCTGTCCAAGTCTGTAAACTGAGTTTTCTGCTACTACAGCACTGACTTACCAGCCCAGTACCATCTGCCTGATGTTATGCAGGCCATAGATGGGGAGAAAAACGGCCGATTTTTCGTCCGAAAATAAAACCGGCCGATTATCTTATCGTTAGTGGACGATTTTGTCGGCCGTTTTTCGTGTATTTTGGACTTTCAGATTATCGGTGATGTTGGAAAATTTTCGAAAAACGCCCAACTTTATCCTCATTGATGGTCAAAAAACGAACGATCGTTTTCCGAAAAAGGATCACAAAGGCCACAAAATGACATCATTTCCCGTTATAGGTTACTCATTAATCGGCCGATTTTCGTAATAATTGGTGGTCAGGTAAGTTTTTTAGACCGACCGATAGTTCGTTAATCGGCCGAAAATCTGCCGTTTTTCTCCCCATCTATGGCCTGCATTAGACTCACTTTTTATGGACCAATTCCACCTGAGCGCAATTGGACACCTGATCTCAGACACCCTTTCCTGTCTGGACAGGCTCTTCACAACTTACTATCTGCTTCTCTTTAGGAGAAAAATGCTTCATTTTTCACAATATATTCTGTACATTAACAGACAGTTACTAGTACAACTATACACATTAATATTTCAATTAGACACATTCATTTTTCCTCCCTATTATACACAAGGTAAATACATAAAATTAAAGGACATTCCATAGTCCTGCAGATTAGTGAAAATAGAAAAAAAAAAATATGTACGATGTCCACATTTAGCTCTTCAGAAAATCTATCCTAATATTGTTCTAAAGGGAAAACTTTTTCTGCCCCCAAGTCCTATCATGATACTCTTGTATTATTTTTATACTAGCACTGGAAGACACAATGGGGTTGAATTGTTAAAACTGGAGCAATCAAAATCTGGTGAAGCTCTGCATAGAAACTAATCACCTTCCAGGTTTGTTTGTCAAAGCTTAATTAAATAAGCTGATTGGCTACCATGCAGTGCTGCACCAGCTTTTGCATTCTCCAGTTTTAGTAAATCAACCCCATGATGAATTAAATGGACTCCAACCACTTTTTCCCTTGAAGGATGTACTCATCCCTAACGCATAAAACTAGTCAAGGAAGACCAACCTCTTTGGGACTTTTACCATACTACAATAATTAAAATATTCAACTACTGTTAATATGATCATGATTTTATTAGAAACAATATGTTAAAAACTAACTAAAAACAGGTTGAACATAATACTGGTTACATAAAAGTTTTTTTATCAACAATATCCATTACAGTAATCCTATACATTCTCATGTGTATAAATGAAAAGCATTAATGGCCAGGTTATCTTCATGTATGAATTTACATCTTTATACACTATAGAGAGGGGTTTCCACAACAACCAAAGAAGTCGACAAAGGTACAGTACATGAAACATGTCAAGGTGTTCTGGGCCCATTACAGCTTGACATTCTGAAGAATACTGTAGTTCCTTAAAATACCAAAATAAGTTGGTCTTTTTTCTAGCACTCCAAGAAAAAAAAACGAAAAAAAAAAAAACACAACCATACAGAGATTGGCGGATCTTACATTCTACTATGGCACACAGTGAAGTGGGTTACTTCGCAATGCACTATTCTAGTCATCATGGCGGAAGGATATGTCTACTCCAGATATAGGAGAGATAACATTGGCTAGTTAGTTCACCTAGCAGCTGGTTTTATGTAATTGCTGTGGACACACACCTGGGAAATATGTGTCATCAGAGGAATGCTTCTTTTTCTTCTTATGAGATTCTGTTGGCAAAAGCGCAAATTCTGTTTCCTACAAAACATAAGTATTGTACTTTATGACTATTTTGTGAAAAACATCATTTGGATTCGTACAAAGTTAAAGTACTAATATAGCATGCTAGATACAATAAATTTGGCGTCTCTCAACAATAGTAGATAAAAACTAATATGAGGAAAATTATTGACAGAAGGAGAAACTACATTGACAAGAATACAGGCAGCACTCCATAGTGTAAGAGACAAATGTCTTAATGTAACAGAGAACTCAACAGATGTAAGATTAATCTTGAGGCTAATACAAACACACCAAGTTATGTAGTCAATAAAATCTTTTCCCAATGTCAATGTCCTTGACTGTATATTAGAAAAAAAACAGAAAAAAACTATAACAAGGCAAAAACGTTTCAGATTTCAAAAGTAAAACGTTTGCTGAAATTCAAATTAAAAAAATTAATCACAAAAGTTTGGAGTAAAACAGCAGGAGACAGTAATCAGGGGGCACTATTAAGCCTTTTTTATACAAGCTGTTTAACTGTATACACTGGCTTGCAGCAGCAAGAATCAGCAGACTCTTGTGGCTGGAATCACAGGTGTAGGTGAAGAGTGGTGGCTGCTCAGCCTATACGAAGTATTAACAGGCTGACAGCAGCCATCGCTGTTTGCACGTAGCCACAAAAAAAATCATCTGTTGCAAGGGAATGCATGCCCAGGCCTGAATGCATCCAAGGCTACATGTGAACAGCAACAACTGCTGTAAGCCTGTCATTTCAGCCTCAAGAATCTGCTGATTCTTGCCACTCGAATCTGGTGTATGCAGCTAAAGGCCATGTGAATGAATGCTCCAAGTCTACCATCCTAAAGCCAATTTGATTTTATGCCAGGAAAATTAGTAAAAGTTAACAAAAGAGAAAAGCATTGTACAAGGAACAAGATAGTTCCCCAATTTTTGATCAATCGGTTTTCTCCTAGCAGCTAGCTGGCTCTAAAATCTCATCCAACCATTGGAGCCCCTATCAGGGTGGCCCAAGGGACCTTCCAGCTACCAGCGATTTCCTCTCATCCAATCCCCAATGACTCCAGTGATGGGAAGAGCAGATTTCCCCTAAGGTTTGAAAAACAAACAACTCAAGTGTATTACAGACGCAGGGAAATTCATTCTCCTGCATTATATGACACAAAATGGTTTGTTTGCCTGTATGACAATCCAAAACCTACTCTTACCACCAATAAACACGATGGCAGCTTTTCACATCCAACCCTTTCTGAAGTCTTTACCAGGTCGACAACAACTTTCCAAACCTCTTTCCCCTTTTGAAATCTTATGCCATAATGTTATAAATATGCTTAATTTACTCTCCCTTCTATATAGGATCATCATTACAATGCCTAAAGACTATATTCCCCCACACGAACAGAAGTGGGAATCTGAACTCAGCATCACACTACTCAAAGAAAAGTTCAGAGGGACATCCTGTAAGTACACAAGTTGTCCATAGCCAATTGATTTCAGGAACAAGGCTATAAAATTGTTAACATGAGAATACTGGTTCCCATGCCTTCTCCACAAAATGATTCCACAGGTCCTGAGTACTGGCTGAACATGTCAGTCTGAACCAGGAACACAACTACATACATTTTGGAGTTGCCCTCCACTGGGCCATTCTGAACAGAGGTCTGCAGACTAACTCTCCAGCTTATTTCTGTGGACCTAGGGACAAAACTCTTCAGATACCTACTTCATATCAACAAAGTGCCTTTAGAGTGCTACAAATCCTCCTTGTTAGCCCATCTTCTCAATGTGTCTCAACACCCCCTACTACTCACACAAAATTTTTAGTTTAGCAACACACCAAAATATTGACATATTGACTCCTGGCCCCTCCTCCCTTACAGACTGAGAAAGATTGATGGAACTATTGAAATATTCTAATGGGAATAGCTCAGGGACAAACAGATTACTTATAAAATAACAGTTTACAATCTTTTTCCAAGTTGGGATTTGGGGACACCCAGATTCCAGGGTAGCAGTTGTATTTATCCCACCCCCTTTTCCATTTTGTCTTTTCCCCTCTCCTTCCTACTGCTTCTGAACCTACCTAAACGAACATACCATTTCAATACCCTAGGGCCCCCTCTTCATTATTCCCATTCTGCACCTATTCAAAGCAACTATTTGCTGTCTATTTTCTTCACAGGAAGAAAACATACAATGGGATCACAAAAATGAAAACTGGGACAATACTTATGTTGAGGCAGACGTGATGTAGCAAACCATCAAAAAACAATTACTTCTATTTCGTTTTCTTAGAACAAAGTGACACTAACAAAAATAAAATTACAAGATCACATTGGTTCCAGTGAAGAAGATTTATCTCAGAGTTTTTAGAGGCAGTGATATCAGATGATATGTCTTTAAAAAAGTTTAAGCTGAATGAAGCAAGGGTTCCTGATAACACTTACCCCCAGTTCAAAGAACTTTGAGATATAGTCGCTGGGCCATTGACTGATATTTTTAATCAGGCTTATCTAAGAAGCCAACCATTAATGGCAGATAGTAGTGGTGCACCGAAATGAAAATTCTGGTACCAAAAATTCAGGACGCACTTGGCTGAAAACTGAAATGGACAGTTTTGAAAAACGTATAGATTTTTCAAATGCAATTTCTTTGGAAAAAAATACACTTTAATGAATACAAAAAAAAAAATATACTCCATTTTTTTTTTTTTTTTTTTTAAATATGAAAGATGATATTATGCCAAGTAAATAGATACCCAACATGTCATGCTTTAAAAATACAAACGCTCGAGGAATGGCGCTAAACTAAGGAACTTAAAAATCTCCATGGGTGACAGTTTACAAAATTTCTACAGGTTACCAGTTTAAAGTTACAGAGGAGATCTAGTGCTAGAATTACTGCTCTCACTCTGGCGTTCGTGGCGATACCTCACACGTGGTTTGAATACCGTTTACATATGTGGGCGTGGCCTATGTATACGTTCACCACTGTGCGGGAGCACTTTACAATTTTTTTTTACATTTATTTTATTACTTTTTTTACACTGTCCCTTTAAAAAAATGTTATCACTTTTATTTCTGTCACATAGAATGCAAACATCCCTTGTGAAAGAAATAAGCAGCGACAGGTCCTCTTTATAGAAGATCTGAGGTCAGTGAGACCCCACATCTCTCCTCTACAATGTAAAGCATTAGATAAAAAAAAAAAAAAAAAAAAAAAAAAAAAAAAAAGCATTGATCTAGTGCTTTAAAAAAAAAAAAAAAAAGCATGGCTCCAGAGGCCATCTTTCCTTCACTGATCTCCAAGCCCAGCTGCCAGGATTGTTGGAAGTGGTACTCTGAGTCTGAGAGCCAGCGGGGGCTAATTTTGGCACCTGTATCAGTGTATCAGTGCCTATTTTCATATCAGCCAAAGGCCGATAGGGGTATTTTCGGGCAAAACAAATTCTAAATCAGATCAGCATAAATCTGTTTTGGCTTTGTTTTGGACCAGGGTGGTGCTGTGGGCATACCCTATTTTGTTTTCAGCATTGCACTTGATGCTGTTCTACTTAATGATCTAATAAAAAAGATTGTACAAACTAGGACTTAACCCTCGGGTGCTTCAGTGGTATGCAGTGGGTAAAGGATAGATAAAATGTGGTGTAAACGGAGCTCATTCAGAAAAGAGATCAGTCACTGTTTGGTGTACCACAAGGCTCTGTACTAGGTTCTATTCTATTTAACAAGTTTGTAAGGGATAGAACGGAAAGTTTGGAGAGCAAAGTATATCTTTTCATAATGAAGCAAATGTGTGCAATAGGGTTGATATTCCTGGAGGGGTTTGTGACATTGAACAGGACTTGGCATTGCTGGAAGATTGGTGAAAGCATTGAAAATTGCAGTTCAACATTTTTAAAAGCAAAATAATGCACTTACGGGGAAAAGAAAAAACTCTAACAGAGTATAATGTTTGATGTACAATGCTGGCAAGAACTTTTTATTCTGCAGATATAGAGGGTCTTATTTCCAATGATTAAAATATGAACAAATAATTCGACTTGGCAGTAGGGAAAGCAAATAGAATTCTGGGGTGCATCACTAGAAGGGTCACCAGCTGGAGGAAGGAGGTTCTGATTCCCCCATCTTTAGGTTAGGCCTCATATAGAATACTGTGTCCAGTTCTGGAGACCTCACTTAGAAAAATAAATGGATAATGAGTCCAAAGACAGGCAACAAAAGTGGTGAAAAGTCTAAACATATCAAGGAGAGACTGCAGGAACTTCATAAGTACACTGGTGAAAAAAGAAGGGACATGGAAAACTTGATCAAAACATTAAGTGTGTAAATAAGGTTTAGAAGGGCAGTATTTTCAATACGAAGATCAAAAACACAGAAAACATGACCACAAACCGTGGGAGAATAACTCAAAACTAACATTTGAAAAGTATTATTTTACCCAAAGAATTAATGTTTGTACCAGTTTTGCTGTTAATGAATTATTGTTTTCCTGGTGCTTATAGACCGATTCTCATTTCATGTTTTTAAGTCATTTTGGCAATAATAATTGTGTTAGAAGGATATCAATATTTGCATAGACAGAGCAAGCAATAAATGCTGTGAAACCCAGGCATACTTTATAATAATTTTTCAAATACAATCTAGACTGTTCAACAGCCGCTGTGTAGACAAAACAGGAAACAACTCTTTTTTTAATAGATTTATTAAAGATGGCCAAACAAATCTTACCTTGGATCTCTTTTTAGAAGATTTCCGGACTTGTTCAGCAATCTCTTCTTCCTCACGTAAAAGATCTTTGTATGATCTCTTTTTCTCCCGCTGGCTCCTGCCAGCTGCCAAGCTCACATCCTCCATTCCACGATCTGCGTCCAGAATTTCTGATCATAAACAAAAGGAGCATGTCAAGTACTAAAGCACTTGGAACTCCCACAGCGCTGTGCATCAAATGCTGGAAAACTGAGCAGAATTTCTTCTTGGGACTACCTTTTGATTTAGTGCAATTCACTTTGACCAATGGAACTTGTTTAGCTGTCCACCTCCAGTTGAGTTCTTGCAGAATCTGTACTATATCACACACACACATATATATCTTTTTTTTTTTTTTTTTTTTTATAATATATCGGCTTCTGCTAAAAATATCAGTGTGTAATGTGAGGCATATTAGTTAATATCCAAAAAGTTCAAGTAACATAAGCAAGCACGGGTCGTGACATGTGAATGACCATAGACATGCCATTTGTAATTCAGGTGGGTGTTTAAAGACGAGAGAAAAAGAGATGGGGGAGAAGGTTGCCCTTTTGCAACAACAGCCCATTTCTGAAAGTGTGAATTTATTCTGCACTTAGTGCCCTAGAAACAGGGGGCCCCCCGTTACCAGCTTACAAAATTTTCTATAATTCCTATGATTCAGCAGGAAAAAAAAAAAAAAAAAATACAAGAATACAGTACTTTTGTTTTTTGCGTTTCATTTTTTCCTATGAGCATGAAGTTGTACAACACCACAATGAAAACTCCTACCTCGAGAGTCACTGTATGCCATATCCAGGTCCAACACAGATTAGATGGTAAATAGTCATTCACAGCACCTACTGGCAGGAAGACAGGTTTGTTAAGACTCATAAGGAACCACTAAATGGCTTTTTAATAGGATATCATAAAAGCAGCACATATATACCGTATTTTCCGGCGTATAAGACGACCCCCTACTTTTCCTGTTTAAAATGTAGTGTTTGGGCTATACTCGCCGTATAAGACTACCCCTCTTCCAGTGCACACCAGTGGGAAGAATCGTGCCCCATCATTGGTGTCAGTGGGAGGAATAGTGCCCCATCATTGGTATTAGTGAGAGGAATAGTGCCCCATCATTGGTATCAGTGGGAGGAATAGTGCCCCATCATTGGTATCAGTGGGAGGAATAGTGCCCCATCATTGGTATCAGTGGGAGGAATAGTGCCCCATCATTGGTATGGTATCAGTGGCAGGAATAGTGCCCCATCATTGGTATCAGTGGCAGGAATAGCGCCCCATCATTGGTGTCAGTGGAGGAATAGCGCCCCATCATTGGTGTCAGTGGCAGGAATAGCGCCCCATCATTGGTGTCAGTGGGAGGAATAGTGCCCCATCATTGGTGTCAGTGGGAAATAGCGCCCCATCATTGGTGTCAGTGGGAGGAATAGCGCCCCATCATTGGTATCAGTGTCAGGGGGGAGGAATAGCGCCCCATCATTGGTGTCAGTGGCAGGAATAGCGCCCCATCATTGGTGTCAGTGGGGGGAATAGCGCCCCATCATTGGTGTCAGTGGGAGGAATAGTGCCCCATCATTGGTGTCAGTGGGAGGAATAGTGTCCCATCATTGGTGTCAGGGGGAGGTATAGTGCCCCATCGTTGGTGTCAGTGGGGGGTGGAATAGTGCCCCATCATTGGTGTCAGTGGGGGGGGTGGAATAGTGCCCCATCATTGGTGTCAGTGGGGGGTGGAATAGTGCCCCATCATTGGTGTCAGTGGGGGGTGGAATAGTGCCCCATCATTGGTGTCAGTGGGGGGTGGAATAGTGCCCCATCATTGGTGTCAGTGGGGGGTGGAATAGTGCCCCATCATTGGTGTCAGTGGGGGGGGGGGGGGGGGGGGAGGAATAGTGCCCAATCGTTGGTGTCGGGGGGGGGGGGGGGAGGAAAAGTGTCCCATCGTTGGTGTCAGTGGGAGGAATAATGCCCCATCATTGGTATCAGTGACACCAACGATGGGGCACTATTCCTCCCACTGACACTTGCTGACCCCTGTTCCAGTATGGTGCTGCTGCAGCCAGCATATGTGGTTGCAGCAGCACCTAAGCACGGAACACTTACCTGCATCTCCACTCGATTTTCGCGGGGCCACTCAGCTCCGCCTCCTCGCCGGTGATTGGCCGCCTGCGTGCCTTTCCTGAGCTACAGTTCTAATGGCCAATCACCAGTGAGGAGGCGGAGCCGAGCAGCCGCGCGAACATCCAGTGGACGAACTGAAGGAAGGAGCAGCCGCGCTTCCTGGACCGGATCGTCGTGGGACCGGAGCCAGGTAAGAGACAGCAGCCCCTGCCCACCGCTGTACTTAGTTTCCCTTCTGTTGGAAGGGGGGGGTAGCAGCGGCGGCACCGCGCCGCCCCCCTAAAAAGTGTCAGCATGCCGTTACCGGCGTATAAGACGACCATGGACTTTTGAGAAGATTTTCAAGGGGTAAAAAGTCATCTTATACGCCCGAAAATACGATATATGTTTAACCATTGCAAGACCAGGCCTTTTTTTAACTTTTTTCTTTCACGTAAAAAGGAGCATTTTTTGCTAGAAAATTATTTAGAACTCCCAAGCATTATATACAGAGAAAAAAAAAATATAGAGAGAATAAAATGGTGGGTGTTGCAATTTTTTTATGTCACACAGTGTTTGCGCAGCAGTTTTTCAAAAATTTTTCTTTTAGGAAAAAATACACTTAAAACAAATTTTAAGGCACAAAAGACAATATAATACACAATTGTTTGGTAAAATATAAAAGACGATGTTGTTCCAAGTAAAAAGATACCAAAACATGCCAAGCCTTAAAATTGCACACACCTGTGCAACATCGACAAACTACATACATTTTATTATTCATTGGCGAAGCTTTAAAATCCTTTACAGGTTACCACTTTAGATTTACACAGGAGGTCTGGAGCTAGAATTACTGCTCTTGATCTGACGTTTGAGGCGACACCTCACTTGTAGTGAGATTGCTGTTTACATACCAGTGCAGGACCAACGCATGCATTTGCCTTTGCACACGAGCACGGGTGCTTTCAAAAAAAAAAAAAAAAAAAAAGGGTTTTGTTTTTTGTTTTTTTTTTTTTACACTGTCCCTTTCAATTTTTTTGATAATTTTTATTGTTATCACAAGGAATGTAAATATCCCCTGTAGTAACAACAGGTACTCTTTACTGAGAGATCTGAGGTCTATTAGAGCCCAGATCTCTCCTCTGCCCATAAAAGCTTCAGATTAAACCAATATCGGTATGACCAGTGGTTTTAGAACATCTGATGAAACTGGAAGTGACTAAATACTCATTGGCTGCACACTCGGGTCTCCCAGTGGGAGGGGAGAGCCCAGGATGGCTGTGGAAGGGGGGGGGGGGATATCTCCTCTCGTAGCAATCTAGCGGCATACACAATCCACCCCCAACAACTTTTCTAAAACATAAAGCAGAACTACATTGCATCTCAGAATCACAAACCCACTAAAATAGCTATTTAATTCATTTTTAGTATTCAGAACAAGCTCATCCATCCATCTATCCATGTGTCCATGCTTTATTTTGCTGAGAATTTACTTAGAAAAACACCCCCTAGCATTTCTGGCCGAGGCCACCTTGATTAACCACTTGCTAACCTCGCTATAGCAGAATGACGGTAACAGCGCGGTTATCCAGTTCTGGGAGGGCATCATATGACAGCAGATCACGGAGTAAATACAGTTGCCGGTTATCGGCAGCACTGTCACAGCATGAGGAAAGTGCTACAGATCACCGGCAGCTGTCACAGTGCGCTCCACAGAGACGTGGTAGTTCATTAAGGATTACAAGCACCTGGATTGGATGGCATACACCCACGGGTTCTTAAAGAATTGAGCTCTGTCATTTCAAAGTCATTGTTTCTTTCTAATTTTTAGGGACTCTTTAATGACTGGCATAGTACCACTGGAGGAAAAGAAATGTAATCTCCAAATACAGAAAAGTTTCTTCACAGTAAGAGCTGTGAAAATGTGGAATAGACTCCCTCAAGAGTTGATTCTGGCCAGCTCAGTGGATTGCTTTTAAAAAGGCCTGTATTCTTTCTTGGATACACAGAATATAACTGGTTACTAACATTTATAGATAAAGTTGATCCGGGAATATCTGATTGCCTCTCAGGGGATCGGGAAGGGATTTTTTCCCCTGCAGGAGCAAACTGGATTATGCTTTGCTGGGTTTTTTGCCTTCCTCTGGATCAACTGTGGGTGTAGGATTATAACTTTTTTTTTTTTTTTTTAATGGTTGAAATGCATGGACTTTTGTCTTTTTTCAGCCAGACTAACTAGTAACAGCCGCTGCTAAGGATGTTCGGACTTGTAGTCTCTCATTCACAGAAGACTATGAATGAGTGACTTGGCTGGGCAGGAGGAGCCCCGCACCACCGAGGTTTAGAGAGCTAGAGAGGGGGGAGAAGATTCCCTGCTAGTTGTCAAAGCAGGGAGTGGGGGCTGTCTGATCGTAACAAGTTACATGCTACACCGTGTATATAAGTGAACTTATCTTTTAAAGGACAGATGGTTTATGTGGCATTTACCTTATTTACAAGCTAATTGGTAAATTATATACAATACCGTATCCTGGTGACACAACTGCATAATTAGAGAAGCTGATATTTCAATATGAAAGTGAAATAAGGATCTATATCTATATTATCTTGACATTAACAGCACGTAGTAAAAAAATTAAGATAGGTTCATACCACAATGCTTTTGTTACTAAGGGCCTCTGAAAACAACAGCAAATCTTCTTCCCCCCAAAAAAATCTTGTCTGGCTGTGTCTCTTGGCGCACCACAAAAAGCAGGTCTTCTTATGATCCTATTGAAAAACAGGAAAGTTGATAGACTGTCATTACATGTACACCTTCAGACAATTTAAAGTGACTGTAAAAGGCACAGGTTTTGTTTTTTTAAAATAACAAACATGTTATACTTACCTGCTCTGCACAATGGTTTGCTAAGGGGGCAACTGAGCATGCTCGCTCTCAAGCCAGCTCTGTGTGACACACAGTGTGAATCGGCCCCATCTCCCCTCCTCTCTCTCATCAATGGCTCCCACTGCTGTTCTCTGTCCAATAAGGAGAGAATGAGCCAACAGTGCTGCTGCCATCACGTACATTGCTGGATCGAGATTGGGCTCATGTAAGTATAGGAGGGTCTGGGGGGGGGGGGGGGGGGGGGAAGCTGCATGCAGAAAGTTTTTTGCCCTACTGCAGACAATGAATTAACCACTTTAAACCGCAGTAAAGCCGAAAAACGGCTACAGAGCTGTTGTCAAATTCTGGGAGGGCATCACATCCTCCCAGAACGCAAACCCCCCCAATGCTGCACCCAAATAAAATTATGTCCTTTTTTCCCCACAAATAGAGCTTTCTTTCGGTGGCATATGATCACCTGTGAGTTTTTTTCCCCCCACTATAAACAAAAAAAGACCAACAATTTTGAGGAAAAAAATATATATATTTTTGACTATTTGCTATTAAACATCTCCAATAACATAATTTAAAAAATTAAATTTCGTCATAAATTTAGAGCAAAATGTATTCTGCTACATGTCTTTACTAAAAAAAAAGAAAATCCCAATTTGTGTAAATTAATTGGTTTACGTGAATGTTATAGCGTTTACAAATGGCAGTATATATACTGGAATTTTTATTTGTTACTAGTAATGGCAGCAATCAGCGTCTTATAGCTGGACTGCGGTGGACATTCTGACACTGGAGGGAACTGTCTTGGTGTCACTGACATCACCAGTGACACCAATACAGTGATCAGTGCTAATAAAAATACACTGACACTGTAATAATGGCACTGGGCAGGAAGAGGTTAACATCTGGGGTGATCAAAGGGTTAACTGTGTGCTGGGTATGTTTTGCTATGAGGCTGAGTCTGTGCTTTCCACTGTAAGCACACTGCTTTGTACGGCTTTGCTATGCACAGCCATACAAAGCAGTGTGCTCGAGCTGACAGGTGAGAGAACTGTATTGTTTACATACAGTTCTCTCCCCCGTCAGTAATACTTGGTGATCACCGGGTGCCAGCGAGTAATCAGCGATTGACAGCCAAGGCCGCAAATGGTGGCGTGGATAGCGCTTCCCTGGAAATGCAAAAAAAAAAATATATATATATATATATATATACACACACACACACACACACACACAAATACATACATACACATGTGATTTTGCAGTATGTCTGCTATAGGGTGGTGGGAGAGCGGTTAACACATTGCTGATATTAATTAAAAATTGACTGATTAGGATTGTTTTGCTTCAGGTCCCTTGTGGATCAGGTTCACACTTCCTAACTTCTGATGATGATTAGCATCTTTACTTTATAAGAATACTTGTCTGAGAGCTTTCTAATGCTGTGATTAGTTTATCTGATAATGGTTTACATTGTCTTTGTTAACGTTCTAAACAGACTTATGTTTTTTTGTAATAATGACAACCTTAGAAATGACCACTTTTCAAATGTTATATATGTATAATAATATATATCATGTAATTTCAATAAAAATATAGAATTATAAAACAAGGTGTTTAGTTTGCAAATACATGTCAAAGCTGCAGAGGCCAGGTCATGGCACCCCAGTGTACTGCAGTCCTAACCTTTGAGAGTCTAAAATTTATAGAGTTAGGACTGCAGTACACTGAGGTGCCATGACACGGCCTAGGTAGCTTACGCATATATTTGCTTGTCGTTTTTATGATGTGTCGACCTTTACGTGCTCCTTGCTACAAAAGCTAGTTATAGGTTGGGATGGTGGCCATTTGTTTGTACTGTTGGTGGATTGGTGAGGGGAAGCATTGAATACCTTCGCTGCCATTGTGCTATTGCTGGGTGTCCAGTGTGTCCCTATACCTTTTAGGCGGAGTTGGCTTCCTCCAGACATACCTGCCCTCAATCTATCCTTCATTATATACTACATTGCCAAAAGTATTGGGACGCCTGCCTTTACACGCACATGAACTTCAATGGCATCCCAATCTTAGTCTGCCAGGTTCAATATTGAGTTGGCCCACCCTTTGCAGCTATAATAGCTTCAACTCTTCTGGGAAGGCTGTCCACAAGGTTTAGGAATGTGTCTGTGGAAATGTTTGACCATTCTTCCAGAAGCGCATTTGCGAGGTCAGGCACTGATGTCGGATGAGAAGGCCTGACTCACAGTCTCTGCTCTAATTCATCCCAAAGGGGTTCTGTTGAGTTGAGGTCAGTCAAGTTCCTCCACTCCAAATTTGCTCATCCATGTCTTTATGGACCTTGCTTTGTGCATTGGTGCGCAGTCATGTTGGAACAGGAAGGGGCCATCCCCAAACTGTACCCACAAAGTTGGGAGCATGAAATTGTCCAAAATATCTTGGTGTGCTGACACCTTAAGAGTTCCCTTCACCCTTGAAAAACAACCCCACACCATACCCCCCTCCACCAAACTTTACACTTGGCACAATGCAGTCAGGCAAGTACTGGTCTCCTGGCAACCACCAAACCCAGACACATCCATCGGATTGCCAGAGAAGCGTGATTAGTCACTCCAGAGAACACGTCTCCACTACTCTAGAGTCCAGTGGTGGCGTGCTTTACACCACTGCATCCAACCCATTCCATAAAGCTCTGTACACACCGTTGTTGTGCTAATCTGAAGGCCACACCAAGTTTGGAGGTCTTTAGCTATTGACTCTGCAGACAGTTGGCAACTTCTGCGCACTGTGCGCTTCAGCATACATTGACCGCTCTGTCATTTCACATGGCCTACCACTTTGTGGCTGAGCTGCTTTTGTTCCCAGTTGCTTCCACTTTGTGATAATACCACTAACAGTTGGTCGTGGAATATTTAGTAGCAAGGAAATTTCAAGGATGAACTTTTTGCACAGGTGGCAACCCATCACGGTACCTCGCTTGAATTCACTGAGCTCCTGAGAGCGACCCATTCTTTCACAAGTGTTTGTAGAAGCAGTCGGCATGTTTAGGTGCTTGATTTTATACACCTGCAGCCATGGAGGTGTTTGGAACACCTAAATTCAATGATTTGGAGGGGTGTCCCAATACTTTTAGCAATATAGTGTATATGTGCTATAACTTTGGAGACTCTCAAAATTAATAGAATTAGGACTGCAGTACACTGGGGTGCCATGATGTGGTCTCTTCAGCTTACACATATATATGCAAATGTGTGTGCAACTTAAACCCCTTGTTTTACCATGTACTGTTAGACAGGGCACTTTGGTTTGTTGCAGGCTGGCAAGTGAGCTGGGAAATTTTGTTTGTTGTTTTTGACATGTGTCACCCTTCCATGTGCTCCTTTTGCAAATGCCAGTTATAGGTTGGGATGGTTGCCATTTGTTTGCACTGTTAAAAATAGGGCTCTGACAGATCTACATCTCAATACAAGTACCAATACTGCCCTGACAGGTATACATCATAATACATGCAGTACTGCAGCCCTGACAAATCCACAACACAATGCATATAGCCATCCAGTCCTGACAGGTATACATCACTGTGTATATTGTAATATGGCCCTGACAGATCCACAAAACAATCCACTTACCAATCCAGCCCTGACAAGCATAGACAACAATGCATGTAGTAATAGAGTTGTGACAGATGCTCCTAAAGTTGATTCATCTGTGGGATCGGGGGCACCACCAGTGCAGATCTTGCTCAGGAATGGGAGCAGGCAGGTGTGAGTGTATCCGCATGCACAGTGAGGCGAGGACTTTTGGAGGATGGCCTGGTGTTAAGAAGGGCAGCAAAGAAGCCACTTCTCTCCAGGAAAAAAACATCAAGGACAGACTGATATTGTGCAAAAGGTATAGGGATCGGACTGCTAAGGACTGAGATAAAATCATTTTCTCGGATGAATCCCCTTTCAGATTGTTTGGGGCATCCAGAAAAAAACCTTGTCCAGAGAAGAAAAGATGAGTGCTACCATCAGCCCTGTGTCATGCCAACAGCAAAGCATCCGGAGTCCATTCATGTGTGGGGTTGCTTCCCTGCCGAGCTCACTCACAATTTTGCCTAAGAACACAGCCATGAATGAAGAATGGTGCAAACACATCCTCCGAGAGCAACTTCTCCCAACCATCCAAGAACAGTTTGGTGATGAACAATGCCTTTTCCAGCATGGTGGAGCACCTTGCCAAAAGTGATAACTAAGTGGCTTGGGGGAACAAAACATCAAAATTTTGGGTCCATGACCAGGAAACTCCCCAGACCTTAATCCCATTGAGAACTTGTGGTCAATCTTTAAGAGGGCGGGTGAACAAAAAACACCCGACAAATTCTGACAAACTCCAAGCAATGGTTGTGCAAGAATGGGCTGACATCAGTAAGGAAGTTGACTGACAGCATGCCAGGGAAAATTGCAGAGGTCTTCAAAAAGAAAGGTCAACACTGCAAATATTGACTCTTTGCATAAACTTCATGTAATTGTCAATAAAAGCCTCTGCCACTTATGCAATGCTTGTAATTATATTTCAGTATACCATAGTAACATCTGACAAAAAGGATCTAAAAACACTGAAGCAGCAAACTTTGTGAAAAAGCTGTGGCCAAGGCCATACACAACAATGCATATATAGCAATAGAGCTGTGACAGATCCATGTAATAATGAATGTAGTCATAGGAGCCCAGACAGATCCAGACACACTGTATGTAGAAATACAGCACTGACAGGTATACATCACACTCCATGTACCAATACAGCCCTGACACGTAAACGTCACAATACTAGACTGTAAGCTCCCAGGATCAGGGCCCTCCTAACCCTCTTGTATCGTTCCTGTAAGGTCTCCCTTCATAATGTAAAGGGCTGAGCTGACTATTGTTACTATACATCCTGTACAATAACAATGCATGTAGTACCATAGCCCTGGCATATCCACATCACATGTCATAATACAGCCCCTTCAGATGTTGTGCATTGTGAGGAGTGTCGGTCATGGTTGTAGTGTGATCAGTCAGCTCGGGAGTATTCCATGCACCGATGTGGATCTATCACGGTGTAATTCTAGCAGCTCCATATAAACCATGCACCAGGTTATCATTGTCAGACTCGTATCACTGTGTATAGATGTTGTATATAGAGCCGAATACTCTGCACAGCCCGGCATGTCCGCCATCACCTCACCCCGCACACACAATGTTTCCAGTCACACAGTAAACACAGATGATTCGGTAAAAGGTTCTCTAATACGTTCAGCCTCCATAACCGACACAGCAGGAATTCTTACCTCAGCTCTCTCCCGCCTCTATTCTCTCTGTGATTTCCCCCATACACAACACAGCCCAAACACCGCCCCTCCGCGCAGTTTATGAACGTCACTTCCGCCCTGAACTCCCATGTGTGAGGTTTGGAGATCTGGCGGAGTGTGGAGATGTCCCGGTCACTGCTGAAGAAAGGGCTGGATCTGGTGTGCTCGGATTCCATTGGTGAGGGTGTAGTATGGATGGTTTGTGGGGTGAGGGAGATGCTGAACATGGATCCCAGTGTGAGCACTGACTGTTCCTTCCATACAGCTTCAAGTGGGTCGTGATTGCAGTGACCGGCTATACTCCATTCATATTTGGGATATGTTTCATAATCAGAAAGTAGAAAATATTTTTCTTTTTTTTAATGTTCGTTTTTTTTTTCGTTTTACTTTGCGAAGAAAGATTAAAAACCCCAGTGGTGGTCAAATACGGGATGTACTAAATTGCGTATTGGGACGATCGGATGATTGGCTGCAATGCTCAACACTCCCATTAGGTGTCAGTATATTTGTATACATACTGTATATGGTAATGATTTTGTTGTTACACAAAATCTGTTTTGCTTTTCTGCAGTGCTTGATACTATGTTTCAAGTAGCAGTGGCTAATGTTTAACTCTTCACTTACTGATATGTTCAGCTGTAAAATGGCATCATAGTAATTATACAGAAATAATGGAAACATTACTCAATATATCAATAGGAATAGATTTACGGATTTCATACAGTACATGTATGTGTAAAGCACTACATTTTGAACTGTTTTATTAGGAACCTGGAAAGTGATGTCTAAAAAAAATGAAGATTAAAAATTACAAACGCCAAGGAAAAAATGCTTTTCTGATATCAATGTGGATAATATTGATCTGCATGATGATTATGGCTGGGATATAATGGTTACACATCCCATACAAATTATATTTCACCTTTTTAGAAAAAAATATGGGTGAAATTACTTTTATATATGGGGGGAATATCATGGTAACTCTTATTTTGGATAAGCAAATGCATAGAATTATTTTTCTATATGGGGATTGTGGATGGATTATTGTGAATACACATGCCAAGGACCATATTTGACCTATTTCTGAAATAATTAAAGGTATAGCTATTTTTCTACATAGGTATTATGGCTGGAATATCATGGCTAAACATGTCTAGAAACACATTTTGACTTTTTCTGATAAGAATATGAGAATAGCTATTTTCTACATGGGGGGATTATGGGTGGAATATTATTTTTTCAACATGCCCAGGAACACATTTGACTCCTTTTTGTGCTAAAAATATAAGAAAAGTTATTTTTCTATATGGGTATTCTGGGTGTATTATAGTGGCTACACATAGCAAGAACAATATTTCACCCATTTCTGAAAATATTATGGGCAAAATTTATTTTTCTACATTGGGATTATGGGTGGAATATCATGGTTAAACATGCATATGAACACATTTGACCTGTTTCTCATAATAACATGAGAATAGTTATTTTTCTACATGGGGATTATGGGTGGATGATTGCAGATACACATGCCAAGGACCATATTTGACATGTTTTGCCTAAGTATATGGGTATAGTTATTTTTCTATATGGAGATTATGGGTGGAATATTATGGCTGAACATGCCTAGAAACACATTTGACCTCTCTCTGATAATAATATGAGAATAGTTATTTTTCTGCGTGGGGATTATGGGTGGATGTCTGGAGATCCATATGGAAGAAAAATATATTTTAAAAATTTTCTTCCCAAATATACAAATATATTGACATATATATGAAATACTACAATTTTGGCCATATTCAATACAGTGGGGCAAAAAGGTATTTAGTCAGCCACCAACTGTGCAAGTTCTCTCACTTAAAAAGATGAGAGAGGCCTGTAATTGTTATCATAGGTAGACCTCAACTATGAGAGACAAAATGAGAAAAAAAATCCAGACAATCACATTGGCTGATTTTGAAAGAATGTATTTGCAAATTATGGTGGAAAATAAGTATTTGGTCAATATCAAAAGCTTATCTCAATACTTTGTTATATATCCTTTGTTGACAATGACAGAGGTCAAACGTTTCCTGTAAGTCTTCACAAGGTTGGCACACACTGTTGCTGGTATGTTGGCCCATTCCTCCATGCAGATCTCCTCTGGAGCAGTGATGTTTTGGGGCTGTCGCTCGGCAACACAGACTTTCAACTCCATCCAAAGGTTTTCTATGGGGTAGAGATCTGGAGACTGGCTAGGCCACTCCAGGACCTTGAAATGCTTCTTACGAAGCCACTCCTTCGTTGCCCACGCAGTATGTTTGGGATCATTGTCATGTTGGAAGACCCAGCCACGTTTCATCTTCAATGCCCTTGCTGATGGAAGGAGGTTTGCACTCAAAATCTCACGATATATGGCCCCATTCATTCTGTCCTGTACATGGATAAGTCGTCCTGGTCCCTTTGCGGAGAAACGGCCCCAAAGCATGATGTTGCCACCCCCATGCTTCACAGTAGGTATGGTGTTCTTTAGATGCAACTCAGGATTCTCTCTCCTCCAAACACGACAAGTTGTGTTTCTACCAAACAGTTCTATTTTGGTTTCATCTGACATCCTCCCAATCCTCTTCTGGATCATCCAAATGCACTCTAGCAAACTTCAGACAGGCCCGGACATGTACTGGCTTAAGCAGGGGGACACCTGGCACTGCAGGATCTGAGTCTCTGGCGGCGTAGTGTGTTACTGATGGTAGCCTTTGTTACGTTGGTCCCAGCTCTCTGCAGGTCATTCACTAGGTCCCCCCGTGTGGTCCTGGGATTTTTGCTCACCGTTCTTGTGATCATTTTGACCCCACGGGGTGAGGTGCGTGTAGCCCCAGATCAAGGGAGATTATCAATGGTCTTGTATGTCTTCCATTTTCTAATTATTGCTCCCACAGTTGATTTGTTCACACCAAGCTGCTTGCCTATTGCAGATTCAGTCTTCCCAGCCTGGTGCAGGTCTACAATTTTGTTTCTGGTGTCCTTCGACAGCTCTTTGTTCTTCACCATAGTGGAGTTTGGAGTGTGACTGTTTGAGGTTGTGGACAGGTGTCTTTTATACTGATAAGTTCAAACAGGTGCCATTGATACAGGTAATGAGTGCAGGAAAGAGGAGCCTCTTAAAGAAGAAGGTACAGGTCTGTGAGAGCCAGAAATCTTGCTTGTTTGTAGGTGACCAAATACTTATTTTCCACCATAATTTGCAAATAAATTCTTTCCAAATCATCCAATGTGATTGGATTTTTTTTTATTCATTTTGTCTCTCATAGTTGAGGTCTACCTATGATGCCAACAGGAGCCTCTCATCTTTTTAAGTGGGAGAACTTGCACAATTGGTGGCTGACTAAATACTTTGTTGCCCCACTGTACAGAGGAGGTCTAGTGTTAGAATTACTGCCTTGATCTGACGTTCACGGCAATACCTCACATGCATGTGCAACCGCTGTTTACATAACGGCACAGGGTCAAGGCTTGTGCACACAGGTGTGCGCTCATGGGAGGGTCAATTTTTTTTTTTTTTTTGTTTATTTTGATTTTTTTATTTTTACATTGTACCTTTTTTTCATTTTTTTTTTTTTTTTCACTTTTAATGCTATAACAGGGAATGCAAATATCCCCTATAACTTCAATGGGCATTGTCATATTCTTTTTTGAGAAATCTGGGGTCTATCAGACTCTGGATATCTCCTCTACCCTCACATTATCTAATCAAACCAAAATCGGTGTGATCAGATGCTTTCCCAATTTACAAATGGCGCTGTTTATATCCTGCGAAACTGAAGTGATGAAATGCTTGTAGCTTCCAAATTCTTAGACTATAGAGATGATTGGCACCATTCTGGTCTCCAGTCAGCTCTATGGTCAGCTGGCAGAAACACCAGCTGCATTCTCAGGTTCCCCTGATGGCACGGGACTGCCCGAGAAGGCTGTGGAAGGCAGCAGGGGAGGGGGGGACATCATCTCCCACTGCTTGTAAAATCAATCTTGCAGCTAATTAGCCACTAGGATTGCACTTACATGAAAGCCGATCGCTGGCTGAAAAAAACGATACCAGGATGATGCCTGCAGCTGTAGGCATCATCCTGGTATAACCATTCAAATCCAGTGATGTACCAGTACATCGCTGGTCCTTGTTGGTTATATATGCTAATGTTTTTTTTTTTTTTTTTTTTTTTTTTTTTAATGCAGCCTGTGGAATGAATGAAAAAATGAGAAGAAATCTCTGCCAGAAAAAGTGTGTGGTACGACCACCATTAGAATATACCACCTGCATACACCCACTTCTCATGGTGGGCACACATTAGGTCACACTTTGCCACAAGTGCCAGTTCCAAGATTGAATAAATGTCTAAATAGTGGCACGCTTGAATAAAAATTGTCCACGTATATGTGGTACCCCATATGGAGAAATGATGGCACCAAGTCCCAAACTATCTTGCCCTTGCTCCCCATGTAGTCTGGGCATCCGGGCGGGCTCCACGTGACTATCTTTTCCCTCGATAATCCGAAACTTGTAAGTATAGCCTGTTGTCCTCTCACAGGTCTTCTACATCTTGACCCCATATCTGGCACGCTTGCAGGGGAGAAATTGTTTGAATGCAAGGCGGCCAGAAAATGTAATGAGGGACTCGTCAACGCAGATGTTTTGATGGGGAGTATAGACATCTGCAAATTCTAGGTTAAGGTGATTTGCGAGGGGCTGAATTTTGTGGAGCCGGTCAAATTCAGGGCTACCCGAGGATTACAGAGTGTATTGTCGCTGAAATGCATAAAAAACATTATACTCTCATATCTATGCCTGGCCATGGCAGCAGAGAACACGGGATATGATGAATCGGGTCTGCGGACCAATACAACCTCAATTGATTTCTTTTCGTAATGCCCATGTTGAGGGTTAGGCCCAAAAAAAATGTAAATTTGAAAACCGTAATGGGTTTCCATGCAAATGGTCTGGCAAGGTTTGAATTTGGATTGGCGGCAATATATTGTTGTGCATATAAATTGGCTTGATCCACAATCAGCGCATACCGATTTTCCGTGAAAAACAGCTCCAAAAATCAAGGAGGTATGTGAAAGACCAAGATGTACTAGACCGCTGGTACTCGACAGTTCACCAAAAGGTAGCGCGGCACTAGTACTGGCACTCTGCTGCATATG